TTTCAATACAGAACTTCCATCATGAAAACTAAGCAATTATCAAACATAAAATTATCTTATAAATAATAATATTTAGTAACAAGAATATCCATTTGAGTAGTTAATAAAATAGTTTTGTTAAAATGGAGATAGATTTACTGAAGAGTTGCATCAAGAATTGGGGTGGATCCAGAAGTATCTAAAACTAGTTATAATCCAGTAGATTACAGTGTAGTAGTACCTTTCCATATTAAGTTATACATTAATGCTAAAGTCCTATACTAATTTGGAAAACTGAAACACTAGTGTTTATTTCCTTATGTCAGTGTAAAGGCAATTCACAACATTTCTTTCTGTCCTGCAAGACTAAGACATATTTTAATCAGAATAAAATATATCTGAATTGAAAATAATAGACGTTTCATATTCATATTCCCCCCCTGAATTTAAACACAAATGAAGATGCAATAAATATATTAATATCACATACCATGGATTTATCCACAATAACATGTACTTTCATAGTTCTTTTCAATAATGCATCGCCTGAAATTTTCTGTGAAATAGAAAAAATGAATTAAGTAAAATATTTTTAAAAATTTATATAATAATTATCATGGACGATATATGCATACATACATACATATATACACACATTCATGGAGTAGATATAGAATATATATATACACACATATAAAAATATATATACGGAGAGAGATACAGAAACAGATATGCAAATATAGACATAGGTAGTAAGAAAATGAGAGGATTGGAGACCACCGAAGAGGTGAGAGGCCAAATAAAAATTTTAGGAGCTTTTTAATTTGATCAGGTCCTCTATACTTATTTTTGTCGTTGCTATGATTGTCTTTGGGATCTCCTTCATCCTTTTTTTTCCCTAGACAGATGTCTATAAATAAGTGTTTTCCAATATTTTCTTCTAGATTTCTTATAGTCTCATTCCTTAGGTTTAAGTCAGTTATCAACTGAGAGTTGAATTTTGTGAGAAGTGAGAGGTGCAGATCCTGTTTCAGTCTTCTACATGTGGCTATCCAATTTTCCCAGCACCATTTATTGAATAAGGATTCTTTTCCACTGTGAATGTTTTTGTCTTCTTTGCAAAAGATTAGATGGCTATAAGAGGATGGTTTTATATCTGGGTTTTCAGTTGTGTTACATTGCTCTATGTCTCTGTTTTTGTGCTAATGATATGCTGTTTTAGTACGTAGCATCTCTCT